ATGCGCTTTGAAGGAAGGAATATCCTTCGATCTTTTCGACGAAAGATAGCTTTGGTGATTTATCAAATGATTTGCAAATTTCAAAAATCAGTTAATTGCGAACATGTGATCGTACATAGTTTGATTAGCTCGAGTCGATCTAGGTAAGTGACGCTTGCATTGGTTAATTCCTAGCTTAGCAAGATCATTTAGTCAAGAAAAAAGGAGTCAATTGGTTCATTGAAAAACAAAGAAAATTATAACCTAAATCCATGATTATTTATTTTTTGTTAATTTCTAAAACATCATGAATATTTTTCAATTTAATATTACAAATTTTGTTATGTCACGCATGCAATGATGCCAGCATAAACACAAACTTATGCACAAAGTGATGTAAACCAAAAACAATGTGAATGTTAATGGGTAAAATATAATGCAACTACTTACATACTACCAAACATAATATTACATATACATGCACATGCATACGTGTATATAAATATGTAGTTGTAAAACCGTAAGCTTCTTTTGTGACCCGAATAAAGCTAAAATGTCGAGTGGCTAGTAAAACTGCTGCAAAAATTGTTGGCATTCTTTCTCACTTTCCACACGTAATGCCCCAAAATACTGCGTGGAGAGAGAAAGAGAGAGAGAGCTCTTCAAAAGCAGAGCACGCATCTTAAAATCCAAGCCAAGACGTAAACAGCAACATTATACATACGTACGAGTGCAGAGTGGTAATAAAAACTATAAAGCATGCGGTGTTGGTAGTAGAGTAAACTTGGAGCTAAAATAATATATATATATAATCTATATATATACATTTATATGTGTTTCTTTGCACATATGAATAAAATATTTATTGCACAAGTATCTATGTATGTATACACGCGTACGCCAGACTCTAGGTTATCTCACTTTATTTTACAAAAATATGCTTATTTCAAAAAAAAAAAAAAAAAAAAAAAAAAAAAAAAAAAAAAAAAAAAAAAAAAAAAAAAAAAAAANAAAAACAACAACAACAACAACAACAACAACAACAAATCTCTACAAAAACACCGCGCGTTACATATTCATATGAATTTTATGGCATTCGTAGAATGCTATAGTAGATTTGGCGCGGCATCAATATTTTGCTCTCTTTCATATAATAAAAATTACGTCTCCGTTACCGGGCAATTGCAGTTATTTGCAAGTTTGTTGTTCTTGTCGTTGTTGGTATTTTCTAGTCTCCATATGTTAGTTTTTGCATTTCTTGCATCAATTTTTTTTGTTTAATGCTGACATTTTATGCGAAGCATTTACTCGCCCAGAGATTTGCAGTGGAAAGGCTTTGGTTGTAAGAAAAAGTAATTTCGAAAAGTAAGGAAAGGAATCCGGTTGGCATTTCACTAGGATTTGCTGGCAGCCAATTGCTGCGGAAATTTTTTCCTGCATAAATTTAGCAATACAAGAGTGCGTATGTAAAAAAGTAAGTACTTTGCTGTGTAATCTATTCATGAAATTGAATTGAATTGCACTTAATCTACCTGGTGGCTTTTTGAATTATAAGCAACAGAAAGTTTTTGTGGATCCAATAAGATATATACATGTGTCAATGTAGAGCACTTTATAGGTTATTGCAATAAAAAAAATTTTATTCTTTTTGATCGAACTCTAAGGTGTTAGTTTTGCTTCGAAAAATCCGTGAACAGCTAATTTTGATTTTTGTGGCTTTCAAGAGTAATTGAAATTAACCATAAATTTTCTTTTAATGCATAACAAATGATTAAAGGCCTCTCACATTGCTACTTGCATGAGCTACAATTTGACTCTGAAATGTTGAGTAGTTGACTTTTCGACACTAAACAATCCGATTTATTTTAAATTTCCGATTTCGAGGATGTTTTTTTTCGCTACTTTTTGTTTTATCTAGTAAGCAGCAGTGGCGGCCGCGGTAGCCAAGTGGCTAGCATTGCCTCGTCCCAACATCCAAAAAACTTATAGAAAAATTAATTTAAATAAAAAAATGAAGCTATATTTCCAAACTGCGGTCGCCCCTTGGCAGAGAATGTCATCCCCTTCGAGTGTATTTCTGACATGAAATAAAGCTCCTCGCAAAAAAACCAATAGCCGATTGGAGGCGGCTTAGTATGAACTGTAGGTCCCTCCATTTGTTGCACAAACATCAAAACGTAAAAACCACAACTTGGAGAAGGAGCTCGGCCGAAAATCGCTTCAGTGGTTTCAAAGCGCCGAAAAAAAATTATATGTAGTAAGCAGATAAATTTCTTCAATAATTAGTTGAGGCAGATACATTTCTTCAATAATTAGTTGTGGTTTCCAAAAGTATGGAGCTGTTTTTTGACATCCATTAAACCAAGTTGTCAAACCAAACAGGTTAGTTAAAAGCCCGGTATTTATGATTATGTGCTTCAAACACCGTCACGTTTTAAGAAAGAGATTATGATAAATAATCGTCCAAAAGCTCAAGTGATCGGCTAAAGTTTAAAGAAATTTAAAGAGTCTGGATAGCTCCTCAAATATACCACTACTGAGAGTGAAAGTGCAGCCGAAGACTTCTCTCCCAGCACATTATGGAGTATTTTGCACTTGCTAAAGCTCACATAACAACTGAAGTCAGCGGACCTTTTAAAATGCCCTACACCAAAAAGAAACAGTGGACGGCGATTCTTCGAAGAAAATTTTCTTCAGCGACGGCGGCTCTCTTCTCTTGGCGCTATCAATTGGAGATTCCGAAACGAGATTGTGTGACTTGGCACCATTGGACATTTCTTGGTGAAACTACGCGAAAGATCGTCTTTATCTTGATTTGGGAAATCGCAAAATGGTTATCCGTTTATATTCGATTACAAAGGATATACACATAACACGAAGCCTTTTATAAATTTCTACCAGCAGTTCAGTTGACTTTTCTCAGCCTTCACTATTTAGAAAATATCTTTATTGGTTTGGAGGTTCCTTTCGCGTGGAAGTAGGAGTGTTTTAGTAAATAAGATCTAACGCGACCTTACGCGTATTCCTTAACACCAGCTCTATCTGCTCTCTAACTAGGGGAGTTAAATTATTGGAGCAATCAACGGATATCATCCAAAAGCCATCTTCGTAAATATACTAGATATAATACAAGAATTTCAATCGAAAACATTGAGAATAATGACAGGAGCAACTTCGAGATACAAATCTCCACTTATGGAATTTTGACCGATCACTTAGATACTGCAGTAGACAGCTTGGAAATATGTGTGAAGAGATCGAAGCAAATTTTCTTTCTAAATTGTTCGAGAAGCCAGGGGTTTTCAAGTAGAAGTCTTTGTAATCATGGAGACTCTAGAGTTTTTCGAATTTAATTTGCAGATTTTTATATTAGAACGTACCCAGAGCTAGCCATGGGTAACAAGAGAAGGTGATGATCTACTTCCGCTCTTATAAAAAAAACTATAGCAGTTATTCAGTTGCGGTGGGGAACTATTCCACCACTTTGAAGTACATACTGAGCTGCTGTTTCTCTCTTTTTAACTAAATTTCTATACAGCTGTGGAGAGTGCTCACTCTGTCACAGAGAAAGTAGTTGCATGGATCTATTCCTCTATCTTTAAGACATATACATATAAGCACGGGTACAATAAAGACCAAAATATTATTTATGAAGGACTGCGACGTGCGAAATCCACCATTCGGAGTGTGAACTTCAGCGATAAATCGAAGTTCTACAGTTGTGATACTCAGACAGCATTTGGATCCCTAGTAACCTACAAATTGTACTGGAGAAGGCCAGAGATATCTGGGTACATATCCTTCCGACGAAGCGCACATCGGAATACCTTGCTATGGAATCGTACCACGACTTGTCGGACATCTCTACATCGAGCTCGGAGAAGATCATAAATCACAAGGAAGATACTTACGGATGAGAAAGGAGTGTCGACAGTTGATTGTTTGATATAATGATATTTAGAAAGGCAGTAGCTGGAGAAATTATTAGCAAATAGAAACGATCCCACATCATGCGAGCAGTCGTCCTAGGTACACGTGTACTCCAAACTTGAGAAGTTGCTTCCTTAAAGCCTTCTGCCTTCTTTGTCTAACAGTGAGGTGGTCAAAACCAGATATCGGTCGAACTAATAAAATCAGAGTTGCTCATAAATCAACATCAATCTTTCGGCGGCGGCTCAAAACTTCAGGTCTCTGTTTTCAATGTTTTCATTTTGGAAAAATGTTAAGATGGACACAAAATGGAGAAGTTCTACCATAGAGCATTATGTTGAATCCTATAGACCTTTAACCGCTTGAGATGCTTTTGAGCAAGCCCAACTCGTTCTTCCATTTGCTTTGGTTGAAGTACTCTCCCTTCGATTTTCGGTTTATTCCATTCTTCTGTCTATGAGTATATGTGTAACAGTAAGCCCGTTTCGTAACTCTGTTATAAGCAGATCGAAATGGGAGATTCGACTCAACTGCCTGAGTAAACTGAAAAGACGAATATCTCTCGGTAATATTTTCTTTCAAATTTAAAATAAATTTAATATATATACAAACATACATACATGCAGAATCGTAAATATATTTTTTCGATTCTTTAATTTCACCATTCTCTCTTCATTTTCGCAATTGTCAGCAAATGTAAGCTCAGGCGATGTGTGAATTCATGTGGCATGCCCCAAAGTCGGTGACTGCGCCAATTTTCAACATTGTCGTAAATACATACGGCAAACTTGTATATACAAACATACTCGTATATGCACACTTGCATTAGGTTCTTTTCTTACTCGCCTTTCTTACCATTCACCACTTGTCATTCACCATTTTTACTTGAGATTTTTTTATTGCGCAACGAACCAAAAATACTTACTTTGTTGTCGTACATAGAGTTTTAAAAATTCTATTCTTACACAAGTTAGCTCACACATGTATATAAATATATATATATATATATATAAACACATATATACTTAACTGTAACTTGCATTTAAACTCTTCTTCTTCTTTCTTTCAACTTTTTATATTTTTTCCCACAGGTCTGGTGGTCACCCTGTCCGAGTCGTGAATGCCCCGAGGAGCCCGAGCTTGATTTAGCTGTGAGTCAATGTGTGGACTATTGTTTGTTGCAGGAGCAACAACAACAACAACAACAACCATCTTTATATGGTCCATCGCCCGATTACTATTCGACAACGCAACGCGCGCCAACAACTACATCTATACGATTACCAACAACAACAACAGCAACAACAGTCACATTAAGTACAACAACAATGCGCACAATTTCAACGACCGCCATTGAGTCAGCAACAGCAAAAGCATCATCCATATCGCCGCCATTGGATATAGCTGGCGATGGTGATGCTACGTCTCCACCTCCGCCGCCTGAGTTGCCACTACGCAGCACAACAACAACAACTACAGAAACAGCGGCCGCGGCAGCGGCAGCCGCTCGTGCCGAGACAGCAGCTGCAGCGGCGGCCGCATTTACAACACCCAGCTCAGTGGCCCGTTTCCAAGATGTACTTAATATGTCATCGACAATGTTCCCGCCGGTGGTGACGTCTTCTTCGGCCTTGTCAGAGCTGGAGCAGGGATGGAATTGTAAGTGACAGTTGCAACAACAGAATGCCAGTTGCTTGCTAGTTGCTCGAGGTGTTTACTGTGTACAAATGTGCATGTCTCTCGATATATTCATATACGTGTATGTATGTGTTTGAGTGTGTTTGCGCTCGTGTTGCCATGACTGCCAAGTTTACTTTATGACCTGCTTGCTTGCCTGCTTGCCTGCCCTTCTCTTTGTCAGCCTGTCTTCTGTCCGTCCGTCTGTCTGTTTGTCTGTCCGTCTGTCTGTTTGTCTGTCTTTAAGTGCGACTGTTTGTTTTGTTTGACTATTTGCCATTTAAGTTTACATACATACATGTACGAGTGTGTGCGTGAGTATTTCTGTGAATTTTATTCTTCAACATGTGCGCCCATTCCATCTTCGTCGCTGCTGCGTTTACATGCCATACAAGATTAGTGGCTGTGCCCATGTACGTATATGTACATATATATGTATTTATGTACAGTAATTCGTGTTTGTGAACTTTTCTGCCCTGTTGTTGGGAGTGTGAAATGAATAAATGAATGCATAAACGCTTGTAAAATGGACAATTGATGTAGTCTAGTGCATTTTCCGAAGTGCAAAGTGTCTAATGTGAGAGTTTGAAGTGCGTATGGGTGTCGCTGCGATCGCATGTGTGCGTCCATGTGCGGATGTGTGTGTGATTTTGAAAAGTGACAAAGTATGAATAAATAAATACAATACAAAACAACACGACAATAGTATAAGCCAGGCGTGAAAATAACAAACTCAAAATGCATTTCAAATTTTGCGCTTGAGTGGGGAATATGCACAAAAAAATTTCAGGGGTGGATCAACCCATTGGCTTGGCTATTAAAAATTCAAAAAATTTTTAAAATTTTTCTTTGAAGTAAAAATTTGGTAACTTTTCCTGATGCCTTGCCGCTTTCTAGTGATAATAAACACCTCCGAGCCAAAAGGTTCGTCATGCAAATGTTATTGAAGGAAGCAAAACCATGGTGATCAATTTCCAATTCGCTTCACTGTCGTTCAAAAAGATGTGAAAGCTCACGATGGAACATAAATAAATAATAGAATTATGTGGCTTCTTTGAAACGTTGCAACCTCACTACACAAAAATCATAATCTTCCAGCTGTGAATATCGGCTTTGAGTCACGATTGTGTTAGCTCATTGATCCATGCTCATTTTCAGATAAAGTAATCAATTACAATCCCTTTTACATTAGTCGTTATGATTCTTTTAAGAAACTGTTCATTGTTTTACAATGCGACAAAGAGTCGTATATGCTAACGCGGTTGTGGTGAATTTTCTTTCAAACTATTGCAGGTGTATATGTCAGGTTTTAATCCCAGAACTTGACATTCAGTGATTTTAGATTTTTTTGGTTGTTAACTACTAACGTGTAATTAAATATAAACTGGGATCGCAGCAATCATGGACATAAGAGACAGTGAACCTCCGTTAGACTGCTACATGCAGACGATTAACGATATGAGCTTTTCTTAAAAGTGCCCATGAAATAAATTTCTAACAGGTCTTCTCTATTTTCTATGTCATAAAATCAATACGTTGAAGATCGAACATTTTCAACGATGCTTCTTTTCTTGCTCTCTGTTTTTGTGTTAGTGCACAGAACAGACTTTGGAATTGAATGCATAGCCATCAATACAGATTACAGCAGAGTGAAAGCTCAACAAAGCTGCGCCTTCAGCATCGAGCCAAGAGGAAAGCTAACCAATGCGGAAAACGAGTTTTGCACTGTTTTTCACCATTTACTTGCGTTGAATTAGCTTTTATTTGGTTATTACTTTTTCATATTAAGTGACTGTTAGGCGGACATATTTTTGGCCAAGCTTTTTGAGATTTCTATTTTCAGTTATTCACACAGAAAATTGAATTCACCAGTATCAGTACGTTTTTCATTTATTGGATAAATTCAAAATATTTTTTCCTTGAGTCCATTCTTTAATTTACGGTTTTATATGCCGAAAATAAACGTGACATTTAATTCGTGCTTCTGCGAGTACCTTTAGTCTCTAGCTTAGTTTTCTCAGAAATAGTAAGACGAAAAGTTTTACAACGAAATTTTCTCAGATTTTGCACGTTAGAAAGCCATTTTGAGATCAAAACCATGTTAAGCTAACTCTGCTTCTTTGTGATTCCTGAATAATTTTGAAGACCGATTGTTGCGCAGGTCTCACCCCTAGTTATCACATTACTTCTTTTTAGTTCAAAAACTTAATCTGTTTTAGTAGTTTTTGCTCTAAGGCCTTTGGGAACATATTTTTGAACTAACCGTACAACAAGTGGATAAGAATATTCACAAAAAGAATACAAAAATAGAAAGAAAGAAAACTGAGGTCCATTGAAGTCATATCTTACATTGTTAGTTTTTCATCTAATTGTTATTGTTGCATTGTATAATATTTTGCTGTTGGCATAGAGAATCTCTAGCGCATGCAAAATGACAAACAGACAGACGTAGAGACAGACAAACTATGGTATTTGTGCATTTGTCATTCCTATTTGTGTGGCTGTCATTCTTATTCCCATTCTAGAATTCAGCACAAAAGTCAAACATGGCAAGGGTATTCCATTATTTGTATGCATGAGAGGCAACTACTCATATCCGAATATAATTTAGTATATATGTATGTGTGTGTGTATAAATATATTGTATGCAGACGCATAGTTAAAAGAGCACACACGTCATTTTATTATGCTACCCTTTGTGCATAACTATTTTTGTGTCGCTTTTGTATAAGTTTAGCTCTTCCAAAACACACGCACACACACACACACAAACATAAACACATGTATACATATTTATACACTTCTTCTATTGTATTCCTTTGGTGCTCCTTTACAAACTCATTCAAATTTTTTTTACAATTTTCTCTCATTTTCCATTTCAGTGGAAGCTGGTAACGACAGCATCTTCAACCCGAAGAGTTGGGTACATTCCGACGGTAGTGATTCGGCCTATTTTATGCTTCAAATGCATCCTGACTTGGCTGACCCCATTGAGCAATTGGGCATGGAAATCGAACCGGATGACAATGAGACAGTGACCGATTTTAAGCAACGTTTCGGTGAGAAACGTCTGTGGGATATGCAAATCAATGTCACCGATTTGGATGAATTGGATTTACGTTGCGGTGGTTTGGTGCGTCGCTCCAATATGTCACAACTCACAAATGAGACTGTCAATTGTATGGTGCAACGTTGTATATTCACAATGAATGCACCGGAGATTTGCCCGCCGGATTATAAAGAATCAGATGATCGTGTATTCTGGATATACTTTTTATTGAGGTGAGTGTGTAATGAGTGTACGGGTTAGATGGGTTACGATAGTAGTGACTATGTCCGTATTTTATTTTGCACTAACAAAAGGAATACAAAAAAGATGAACAACACACCGTGTATGCAGACTCTCCTCGCGGAGATTATGTTTTTGAAGCCTGGTCAGATCAACATTCAAAACTATAGCAATGATGTCGTTTTTTTTTGTAGAAAAGACCACACTTATCAGAGAACTTTGATATGAAAACATTAAAGCTTCTCATAAAAAACTGATGACTGTCTAAAAGTTTCCTAAGTTGACGGGTCTGTCGCACTACAACAAAGAAAAAGTTCGTCAGAAAGCCCGTCACATACATAGGGTTAGAAGAACCAGTCAATACCAATAAATCAGAAAGTGTTTAGACAGTTGAACAGGAATGGAAGAATAACGAGGACTCCATATAAACAAAATATTTAATTTTGGAAGATCCTAGACATACTTGTTCACTCTGAGATCTCAGCGCTTTCAATCCTATGAAGTGAGCTATAATCAACCAAAAGTCCAACTCCAAGAAAATACAACAGATATAGAGTGCTACAATACCTCATTGGGCTATAGAGAATGGTCTAAATCTTATTAAAAAGTCAGAGATTGAATAGAAGGGGTCTAATATCAGTTGAAAGCACTGTAACAAAATGAATGGGATTTACTAAAGAGTTTACTTTCGAAGTAGTTAGTGATTGGGAGGAATGATCTCACAAGGATAGATGTTGTTATGAGCTATTTTCTGCCAAGTCTTCTTTTACTGCTTTTCCTTAGTTGGGATCGGCCACACAATTATAACCGTGCCAAAGTATAGCTTTTAACCAGACGGGTCCCCTGCTACCAGCTGCACTTTAAGTGAATAAATTTTCCAGTAAAACTTCAGTAAATCCTTCACCGAAATATGTTAGAGTGGCTTAATTAAGCTCCCCGCTTGTCGCCTTGATCCAAAGCTCAGCAGAGTTTGCTCACAACAATTCACCACATTTGTCGAGTGTGTAACGAGGACGGAGGGACAGGATTTGAGTATTATCTTGCAGGCCGAGTAGTAGTATTATACCCCATTACAACTCTTAAGTGTATAGATGGAAAGAAGTTTAACTGAGTTTCTCTTTATACATGCTACACCGGTCTAGAAAATTATTGTTCATATTTCCAGAATACGGAGATGATGATCAAAGCAGTGCAGGTAGTAACTCCTTAACAGGTCTTAATGCTACTTGCATAGATCCAAACCCTAGTCTTTCAAACATGCTTGATAGTTGGATATACCTCACACTTTTAGGTATGAGCTTTTTACTCTTGCATGTTTTTATGCTTGAGTTCAATTCCCAAGTGGACAGTGATAGTGTTTATTAGGTGGCAAACTCGGGGGGCTTAATAGTGTTTAAAAGCTTAGATGGTTATTTGCATGAGGAATGGCTGAAATACACCATATCCTGCGTGATGTAAGCTTGGCTTACAAAACCGCCTTGTGCATTCCATCGCTCTACCATTTTTGAAGATCCACTGCGCTTAATAAATTCCCAACGCAACAAATGAAATAGCCATCTCCCACCATCTCAAACACAGGAGAAGAGGTCGCCCTGCTGCACTTCCAATTTTTCACCCGGAACTCAACACCGAGCCTACAAAATTCACGTAAAAAAGAAGTAGTCACATCGCACCATCTCTAATTTTTTCTACGTTGCTCACCGTTGAACTCATTTAAGAGCTAGAGGTCTCGACGAGTAAATTTACCATTTATTTATCCTACTCTCAAGACATAATCTTCAACCTAACTCTGAGATAGGATAGTATAGAACATGCATTGGAAACTGCGCCTCCCGACCACCGTTTTAAGAGCAATGGACGTCTGAGCGCTATAGCATAACATATACAATAATATCTGTATATAGTCGGTAAGATGACAAGTCTCATAAGGTCATTCCTTATTGACGAGGAAAATTTTGGTGGCTTCAAGCTGTACTATAACTATAACTGTAATTGTCATTCCGAGGAAGAGGAGAAAGAATTAAGCGCGTTGTTGTAACAGATTTTGAGAACATTTAGTGAGATCCGATAACGTAGAACCAGAACCGTTATTATTAAAAGGAAAAAAAAAAATACCAAAAAAAAAAAAAATGATTTGTTTCAAAAATATTTTCTCAAAGTAGAGTTACTGGATTCTCTTTAGTTTCATTGAAATTAACCATTGATGAAGACATGATGAAGATGACAAAAAACCAATGCGGATGAGGACCCCAAGAATTTACCTGCACTAAGGCATGCCTATCGTAGACGACTAAAATCCAATAATTTACGCGACATTCGGGTATTTATGCCGGAGCAATACGGATTTTTATCCCGCCAAAGAACTGTTTACGTGTTTACTACAAGAACAACAACAACATGATGAGCTCAAAAGACATGACCTCATTCAATCTAATTTATTTCTTATTCTTAAATATACAAAATCGAAATCTGTTTACGCCATTGAAGAATAATTAATTTTGTTGCCAAATATTATTTGATATTCTTGGAGAAAAACAAATTTATGCCAAATTGATTTCGCATTTTTAGGCCAAAAGTCACCACCACTTTGTCCACAAGATTACAACTTAATGATAGCCATAAGCATTTTTCTTTCTATTAATGATGTAATTTTTATCTTCATGGAATATTAAAACACATTTGTTTATTTTATTTCCTCCCTCTACCACCATAGATTCCTCGCCACAACAATGTTGTCCGCTGGTGTCACCATAATGGATCCCATTGCGTTGACTATGATTGAGAAGTATGGCGGTGATTTTGGACGTGAACGTCTGTTCTCCAGCATTGGCATGGCCATCTTTTCACCAATTACAGGCATAATGATTGATTATTTTTCGCGTGGCCTTGGCTACACAGACTATTCGGCTGCCTTCTACACCTACGACCTGCTGCTGGTGATATCAACAATCTCTGTGCTGATGATGCCATTGGGCGATAAATTACCGGCGGATAATGTTTTCCGGGATTTGTGGAATTTGCTCAAAATGCCACATGTTATTACGTTCATCTTCTTCCTATTCATTTTGGGCAATTTTTGGGGCTTCATCGAGAGTTTCCTCTTCTTGTATCTGAAGGAGTTGGGTGCACCCAATTATTTGCTTGGTGAGTATAAAAGAGGGTGATAGAGAGAGAGAGAGAGAGAGAGAGAGAGACAGGGAGAGCGCGAGTGTGTTGACTTGTTGTACATATTCATTGCGCTTTGGTTGTTTACTTGCTCTGTTTGAGTGACAACTAATCGAATCGAATTGCAATTTTAATCAAATTAAATTGTTCTTGTTACGATTTCACTTGCACTCATTCACTTTATTTGCCTCTCTGACTCTTTCTCCACTACTCGCTTGTTGTTGGTTTGCTCACTGTGTCTCTTCTTGCAGGCATCACCATCACTGTTGGCACAGTTAGTAGTATACCCTTCTTGTATGGCGCCGAACGTATCACTCGCATTTTTGGACATGTTAATTTGATTATCATTGCTTTCTTCTCGCATGCCGGTCGCCTGGTAGGCTATTCGTTTATTGAGTAAGTGCTTTTGTTGTTATTGATTTGTTTTGCTTATTTCTCGTATTTGTACATTGATCAATATCTATTTGTGTCTATTTGTGTCTATTTGTCTAGAAATGCTTGGTGGTGTTTCCCCTTCGAAGCCATGGAGGCTCTCTCCTGTCATTTGATGTGGGTGGCAGCAGCCACTTATTGTTCTATTTTGGCGCCGAAGAGCTTATTGGCCACACTGATTGGCGTATTGGGCATGGCACATTTCAGTTTGGGTAAGTGGGAAGGAGTGTGGAGTAAAAGTTTCGGAAGCAAATATAAAATAAAATAAATAAGCTTGATCGAGTGTTTGGTAAATATTTAACCAAGAAGGAATTAAATTAAGTTTCCTGCGCCATAATGATTTTTCGTGCATTAGCTTTAAGTCAGATATTAGTTTTGAATAGTTTGCCGCAGAATGAGCAGTGTGAACTCAAAAGATTAGAGAATCATTTTCATCGGAAGCGTAAAAGAATTTAAAAAGGGAAAGTTCGAAGTTTTTGGGGAATATTATGAATAAAAAAATCTTGAATAATACGACTCTATAGGAAAGGATTTCAGTACGAGAGTTGAAGATATCAATCCCATCGCAGCATAAAAGTTCAATAATTTTTGTCATTAGCTTTTAGATTTTAAAGCAGTTTCTGAATGCAATTTTTTTCTACGCCATTTTGTCTCTATTTCGTTGCTCGGCACAACATTTAAAGCCCAGTAAATGACGTAGAACAGCCCTTAATGGTAATCTATATCTCAGGCGTCCAAGAAATGCTACGGACGGTACAACAACGGAAACGTGTAAGTCCTTGTGAAATTTACTACAGCGGCCATATAAAGGAGCGCCAATTTAGTGTCGGATTTGTGGTGGAAGAGAGACTTCCTGAAAATCGTGATTAGCGAGTGCCATGGTGGGCAAAGAGGGTATCTCTAGCCCAACGAAACATCGCCAAATGGGGTTGCGGCTGATCGACTTCGCGGGAGCCCGAAATATATATGTCGGTTGTATTGGACTCCTGCTCAAAAAAAAATTATTATCAAACTACTTGGCTGTCCATTAAACAGAAAACACAAAACCCACCTCTGGGTCTAAAGGAACGTCTATACTCTATAAAATGATGCTCCTTACCGTGGATGTTGTTGTTGTTATTGTTGCGGTTTGCTTACCCAGCTTAGCTCTAACGGTAGGTCCAGGAAACGTGCTGTTTCGAGGGGATTGGACCAGTGCGAGAGGGGATTAGAGGTGTCGGCTTAAGTGGGCATGTGTAGAAGTGGTTAGTATCGTGTGGAGACTATCCACATAAAGGGCATTCGTCGGATATGCTGGGGTCGAGTCTGGATAGGTTTGGAGTTTAACCTGCTACAATATCCAGATCTACGTTGAGCCAATGCTTCTTACGGTATTGCTATGTGGACGATGACAACATCTGATGAGACGTTAGGAGTTTTCGAGAGAAGAGAGAAAGGTTTTAAGTAATATTTATGATCCTCTGTGAGTTGGAAAGGGCAAATACCGCCGTCGATAGAACGATGAGTTGTACTTCGACGTTTATATAAATCAGCGATAGATAGCGGTAGTTTTTATACCTAAAATAATTATAGAGAAGCTGAATTATTTTGAATACGGCGATCTAGCACAAAAGCTTCCACAGCTTTGTTCCTTTTTGCTACAATTTTTAATTCCAACTCTTTATCCCAGGTCGCGGTAGTGGTTCCTTCACTGGCGGTCTGCTAATTGGTCAATTTGGTACGCGTGACGCTTTCCGCTACATGGGTCTCTTGGCGGTTGTTGGTGGTATCGCTTATGGCTTACTACACTTGGCTTGGTTGCGTAAATTCGATCATAATATTGATGATTGTGAAGAAGAAGCAGAAGCAATGGAAAATGGTGAGACCGAGAAGTTAACAGAGCCGGCGACCAAAGAGCAGGGCACCTCAATGTCATTGGAACGTTTGAGTTTGATGATTAAATACAATCAAATTGGCAGCTTAACGTCACTGCCACGTGGCTCCAGGGTAAGTTGTTTGTGTTGTTGTTGAGAAAATTAAGAAAAATATTAAGATGAATATAACGGTATTCTTAGAAAGAGAATTTGAAAATTTTTAAAGCTTGCGGTATTAATATTTTTAGGTTACAAAAGCTTTTTTGAAAATAAATTATTAGAAAATTACATTTAAAAAATTCTTGAAATTGATCAATTTTGATCAAACTCAAGTTATGTCGTTTTTTAAGTAAGCTCGTGCCATATTTCTTGTAAACTTAAATATAATGCGATTTTATTACTCATTTCACTTCATTTCCTGCCAAGTGAGTGGCGAAGATTCACAAAAGTAAAGCTCAAACTCAAAATTGCCTAATTAATTCTTTTATTTCCAAACATAACTCAATTTTCCGTCTTCACCATCACTTCCTGCCAACCTCCGTCACTTTGTTTAATCACGTAAAATTCATTCTAATTTATTTCATTATATTTTTCTTTCTTTTTCATTTCTCTTCTATTGCCGCGCAACGCTTTCCACACCATTTACCCAAAACATGTCGCCTTTACTGGCCTCATTTGTAATTCTCTGTGCATGGCGCTGCACCTGCGTAGGCGGATATACACGACCATTTGTCACATCGTCGCAGCAGCTATAATGTCGAGTCAACACGCGTACCACGGCATGGCAGTCACATTGGTAGCGCATCGAAAGTTGACATTTTACGCTCAACACTGGATATAAATCACAAATCCTCAAATAATTCGGTGCTGAGCAAAGCCGATAACAAAACATCAAATCAATCATTAGGACGAAATCGTGCCGACAGTGCGCCCAAATTGAATCACAGCAATATGAAGAATATATCACAGCCAACGCTGGAGGGTGTTGTGCTCGAGGTAAGTCGGTGGATGCGCGGAAGCGCGCTTTGACTGTGTGTTCCAGTGCGTGTGTGTATGAGTGTGTGTGTCGAGAAGAGTGTTATTGGGTGCGGCAAACAAAAAAGCTACACACACGCACACAAAATTGCTAATAGCGCTTCGCGAAATGGATAAAAGTGTGCGTGTGCAACAGCAGCTTAGTTTGGACACAGTAGAGCGTGATTCATGGTGCTCCGCGCAGGCTGGGTGCGTGTCGCCGGAAAGCAGAAAGCAAAAAGCGGAAAGTGGCTGTTTGCATGCATTTGCAAATGTTGGATGTATGTGTGTGTGTGCGTGAAGTGGAGTGCGTGCGTGCGTGTTTATGAAAAGTCGCTTCACTACATGCGTTAAGCCGCGTTTGTTGGCGCCTAGGTAGGCTTTTGATTTGCCCGTCGCGTACAGCCAACATACGCGTTGATTGCCGTCAATTGTGTTGTGTTGATTTTTAGCGGATTTTTTGCTACGCATTGTTGTTATGTTGTTATTACTGTTGCTATTTTCATTGTTATTGCAATTTTTTTTGTTTTGGTTTTTTTTTTTTGCACGCTGGTTCATTCTCGGAGTAGAACTTGACGTTTGACTTTTTCCTTTGTGCTATTATTTTGCGTGGTGTTGCTGTTGTTGCTGTTCTCATGTCTATTATTCGTACGTGTTTTTCGGCTTGTTTTCAGCCTATCGTTGAAATTAAATGCAGTTGTTGTTCCATTGCCACCATTGTTAGGTTATAGGTTTGCTGTTTTGCTGCTGCGGCAGCTGTTGCTGTTGTTGAATCGCCTCATTCGCTGTTTTGTTCAATTTCACCATTGGTGCTGGCGATTTAAAAAACAAATTTTTTTTCGATTTTCACTTTCAATGATATTGTTGTGTTAAATTTCGAAATTGAAAGCACCGAATCAGTGCCATCGACGAATTGCAAAAACACAGTTTGTAGAATGGAAAGCAACTGAGACAGACGATGACTCGTGCAAGTGCAATTTTGGCAGTTGCGAATAGTTTTTCGAAACTTTTTATTGCATTTTTTTTTTGTCCATTAGGCGAACTCGATATAGTTTTAACTCCTGCCAGGGGTATTGGCTTAGGAAAGCCCAATGTTGAAACTTTTCTGATAAATTTTAAGGGAATCGAAGTCTGGATTCGTATTTTGTATTCCAGTGCTCAGTCTTGTACAGTAGACAGAACAGCTTCAGAATAATAGTATAACTCATGGCGATAACGGCAAAGAACGGAGCAGGGGACAGATATCCAAGCAGTATTTGAACTTTTAGTTGATGCGAAAAGTGCATCCTCATGTGACCTCGTTCCTTGTGCGGTATGGAACTCCTAAGGCGAGATTAAACAACTTTTCCATGCACCAGTTTTGTTATGACAGCATTAGCACACGGTGTTAATTTCTTAAAGGCGGTTATTATTCTGTAACGACGTACGTTATTGGTGAATCATTCGTGGACTGTAAAGTCTGAAATATTATCTTTTCATTACAAACTCTAACTTCAATGTTCTACATTCTGTATTCTGTTTTCCTAATTCTCTATATTTTATATTCTATATTCTATATTCTATATTCTATATTCTATATTCTATATGCTATATTCTATATTCTATATTCTATATTCTATTTGCTATATTCTATATGCTATATGCTATATTCTATATTCTTTTTTCTATATTATGTAATCTATATTCTATATTCTATATTCTATATTCTATATTCTATATTTTATATTCTATATTCTATATTTTATATTCTATATTCTATATTCTATATTCTATATTCTATATTCTATATTCTATATTCTATATTCTATATTCTATATTCTATATTCTATATTCTATATTATATATTATATATTATATATTATATATTAGATATTATATATTCTATATTCTATATTCTGTATGCTATATTCTATTTTCTATTTTCTATATTCTATATTATATATTCTATATTCTATATTATATATTATATTATATTCTATATTATATATTCTATATTCTATTTTCTATATTCTATATTCTTGATTTTATACTCAATATTCTATAACTGGACATTTCAGAAATTTTTCATTTTACTAAAAAATAATTAAAATAATTAAAATAAAACATTACATACCTTTCTTACTAAAAATCAACAACTTTGTACACTGTTACTTAAGCCTAAAATGATTATTGAAGGCGTGCGCTTTGAATCGTGGGGTCAAAGTTTTCAAATTAGTGAATTTATGAAGCGCAAAACTTTTGCGTGAAAGCTCTTAACGCCAACGAAAGTTAATATCGAAATGCTAACGCGCATATTTTACACATCCTCAGTATATATTATTTCTGCTGGGCTGGTAGGAAATTTTTTTCAGTCAGAAAAAATATTGCAGTTGTCGTTTTGAAAATGGGGGAGAGTGAATTTCATTATTTCATGGCATAATCACACATACGAGTATACGTACGCATCAATAACTCCTGAAATCAACAAAAAGTTAAGCTTAATTTGTAGTGGTTCATAGTTAAATGCTGGAATTCCGTTATTTATTGTTGCTGTTTCCACCAGTTAGCCTGAGGAGCAGTGCAAGTCAGTTAGAAAGCGAAATCACATTTTTGTGGGTTAGCAAAACAAAAAAAAAAAAAAAAAAAAAAAACTAAAAAATAGCAAGTTCTAATTTTCTGTTATCTGGTCGACAGCATGGGGGAAGATCATTGGAAAATCTGCGTTGAATATTTTAACAACGCGGAAAAAGTAAAAAAACAAATAAATGTATGAGTATGATAGCCCGAGTTGTAGGGAAGGAACAGTGTTCGATTTTCAAAATATTATGGTTACAGTTAAAAAAAATATGTTGAAAACTTAAAGCTAATTTTTTTTTGAGAAATCCGAAAGAATGTCAAGCATAAATTTAAACCTTTAGTTAAAACTAAGTAAAAAAAAAAAATTAAAATAACTACACCACTTGGCAACATAATTTTGAAATAATAACCAGAAAAATATAGAAAATCATGCAATTTAACTAAATTTATGTGAAAGAGGTTTAAGTAGACGTCCACATGCCAAGTCATCATAAGGCACCTGACCATTTTAACGCAATTTTTGCTTCAACCCATCTAAGCCTCCCTAAAAAAAATGGCATTCTACTACATATACATTAGGCTTAGTACAAGGTAATCCACTACTTTTCCATTAAATTGAAGGCTTTACTTATCATAGTTGGAATTAAACGATTTGTGCTCTATAATTTTTTGTCATTTGTCACAGACTTCTCTTGAGTTCACTTGGTGCGAGGGCCGGACTTTAAGGCGCATGTAGTGAAACCTCTCAACCCAGCTACTGGCGAGTTGCTATGGATGTGAGTGGTCTGGCGTTGCCCTAATGAATTTACATTTCTGTTGACCGACTCTTGGATATAAGAGTTAGGCCGTAGGAGAGCAGATTTCAGTAGATAATTCCTTGCAAATCCCACCAAAGACACAACAAAGTATTGCTGGCGGTCAACTTTGGCTTGACGCTGCAAACACAACATTTCATTTGATGTTGTCCTCATTGATCCACTTTTCATCACCAGTTGCAGATGGAAATTGGGTCAATGAGGTCTATACCGTTAACTTATGTGGCACCCATACAACGAGCTGCTTGCTGTATTCTGCCTTCTTCAAGTGACTGCATTTTCAACCTTTTTTTGTGCAATGTTTAGCTCCTTAAATTGAAATGTTGATCAATAAATGTTTGTTCGTGAAAATAATTTCGTGTTTTCCACCGTGAAAAAGTCAAATTTGTTTTTTTTTAATGATTTTGTTTTTTTTTTAATAAAAATTTATTATTCAAACCTTTTCAAGAGCTAAAGGTAAGATTTATTACAAGCGAAATCTCTTAATTTACCGTTCACTCGCCTTAACGTGCCCGATTGTCCCGTGCGAAATAGCGGAAATATTCAAGTATTTTTTTATTTTATTTCTTCTCCTACATGCACTTTATTGCTTTTATTTTCACTTATTTTATGTTATATTTCTTTCCACTTTGATTGTTTATGGGTTGGTGCTGCATTTTTGTTCCACTGTGCCGCACAACGCACACACACGCGCATACATATGCACACCCTGGCACACTGCAGGGCGTTGAATCAACGTTTTTTCCCAGTCGCATGAAAAAGTATCCGAGTGGTTTGTTAACTTCAATACCAGCGATGGATTTATCCGTTATACCCAACACAATGCTGATGGTAATGTACACACACACAGTGCTATATACATATTTATATACATATGTACACATAAATGAGAAAAGAATAACAGAAATAAGAAAACAACACAAATACCAGCACAGTATATATATACCCAAACACACATACACACATACTCACGGGAGATAAACATTTTGGCATGATTGGCATGCCGCTGAGGGCAAAAGTTTGTAGCTACTGGTACTGCTTGATAGTTTGCGTATGCATGTGTTGCACGCCGCGTTGCATGCTTTGTTTGGCAGCTTATATTTATGCGGGAGCTTGCAGGTGCACTCCGCTGTAGGTCTATTGGCTATGGCGCCCATTAGCATACGCCAAACTGTTTCGGTATTTATTTTGTACTGATTTATTTTGTTGCTATGCATTCAAATTGTTTTGTAGAATGTTTTTTTTTTTTAATTTCATTTTTGTTGCACGTCATTGGGGAATGCGATTTTTTGTGGATATTTTTGCATGTAAAAATTTTTGCTTTGAATTATGTTGGTACGTGTATTTATTGTAGTATTGAGTGTGGCATATTTGTGGCATGTGTGGTGTTCTAGTTAAAGTTTTCATTTTTCGAGCTTATTTATATACGTATACATACATTTTTTTTCTTATTCCATCACTCGAATTTGTAATAACTTCATTTGAAATATGTTTTGCAAAAGTTTTTATTTTTTATGAATTTTTTACATGCAAAATTTTTCGTTTGAATTTTTTTAAAATTTCAGTTATATCTTTTTCCTTCTCGTATCTATGTAAATGTATTTGCGTACA